AGACAGAAGGAGACAGAAAAAAGGAGACAGAAAGAGACAGAAGGAGACAGAAGGAGACAGAAGAAAGGAGCGAGGAGACAGAGGGACAGAGAAGAATGATGAAGGAGACAGAAAGAGACAGAAGGAGACAGAAAAAAGGAGACAGAAGAAAGGAGAAAGGAGACAGAAGGGGACAGAGGGAGACAGGAGACAGGAGACGGAGGGAGAAAGGAGACAGAAGGAGACAGAAGGAGACAGAAGAAAGGAGACAGAAGGAGAAAGAAGAAAGGAGACAGAAGGAGAAAGAAGAAAGGAGACAGAAGAAAGGAGACAGCAGAAAGGAGACAGAAGAAAGGAGACAAAAGGAGACAGTTCGTTGTACTTACAAGTACACCCAGATAAGAGGCGGGCACCACCATAGTGAGGAGAGCAATGATAGCTGAGGGGACAGCAGCAGCAACAAAACATTTCTGCTGCTGCTGCTGCTCTGCTGCTGCTGCTGCTGCTGGACCGAACAGCATCTCCCCACGAGGAGACCATTGGACCTTCCAGCCGCTGCTGCAGCACAGCAGCAGCAGCTGCCTCGCTCCTATTTTCTTGTGTGCGTAGACGATGCGAACACAAATGTTGCTGCTGCTGCTGCTGCTGCTGCTGCTGCTGCTGCTGCTGCTGTCTTCGCCTGCTGCTGCTGCTGCTGCTGCTGCAGTCTCTGTTGCAATTGCTACAGATATAACCCCAGGGACAGTCTGTAAGAAACTCCTAAATGCTGCGCCCCACACTGCAGCATCGCGGCAGTCTCCTCCGCAGGAGACAGCAGCAGCAGCAGCAGCAGCAGCAGCAGGAGAGCAGCAGGGGTGCAGTGTAGTCGCATAGCCGCATGCATTATTATCTGCTGCTGCTGCTGTTGCTGCAGCAGCAGCAGCAGCAGCTCGTGCTGCTTTGTTCAGGTCCAGCTCAGGGTCTCCTAGACACCTCACATCTGTGGGGGAGACATGCAATACAGCTGTGGCCTCTGCTGCTGCTGCTGCTGCTGCTGCTGCTGCTGTTCCTGCTA